AGGGTTTCACCGCCGCCCCCGGCCTACCTTGTTGATCTCCTTGTGCCGCTCCTTGCTGACGATTTCTTCCAGCACTTCTCCGTCTCCCTTAATGAGCCTGGAAGAGGCACGCGGGGCCCTGAGGGCTCACGCCAGCGTCGGCTGCGGTTTCCCCGCCACAGAACGCGCTGCCCCCAGCTCCTCCTGGCTGCTGCTGCCACCCCTCCTTGGGCACCGTGGGGAAACAGGGCTGGAAACCAAAATCCAACCAACCACCCAATCCTGAGCCACTCCAGCACTGCTGTGGATACATCAGCAGCCCCTGGGCTGACACATTGAGGTGACTCCCTGCAAGCTCCCTGACTGCCCATGCCCTGCAGCTGCACTAGGTGCTTAACTTTTTGGCCCAATGAAGCTTAATTAGCACCTTAGGCTTTCCCATTAGCCTTCTAATTAGGCTGCTGGGATTAATGCCAGTGCAGCTAAGGAGGAAATACCCATGATAAAAGCATCTCCCGGCGTGCTGCAGGGGCTTTGCTGGCCAGCACAGCCTACCAAACCCTACCGAAAAATAATAATAACTATTTTTAACTGAGTTCAGGTCTGGTCCTGGCTGCCGAGGAAGCTGCAGAGCTTCTGGGGAATGGGAGGCAGCCTGGAGCACCCGGGGCAGCTCACACCTCCGAGCAGAGGCAACGGGGCTTTAATCACCCGCGCGTGGTGCCCGCGCCGCGGGGCAGCGACCTTGGCCACCTGCCTCCCCAGCGCCACAGGCCGCTGGCTATTTTAAGGCTGGCCTTGTCACAGCCGAGTCTCTTTGGCACAATGTTTTTCCCTCGCCGGGAAGATGCAGTTTACTAAAAACTGGGTCATTCCTAGTTGGCAGCAAAACTAACCTCAGTTCTGCTGTTTGTGACCCCCCCAGGGACATGTCTGTCCCCAGCCACTCACACGCGGGGCTGCTGGGGGTCCCTTCACCTGGTGGCTCCTCCGCAGCAGGAGCAGCGGGTGCTGCGCGTGCCCTGCTGAGGAACCTCAGCAAAGCCAAAGGGATCGTTCATGCCAGCTCCAGACTTTCTGGATCACGGTGGCCTGGTGGATGCTGACCCACATCCTATGGGATTCTCCCACCTGATGGGGATGGACAAGCTGCCTCCGAGCCGGCACTGGTCTCTGCCCCCGTGGCCCATACCTGGTTCTGCCTGTTTCGGGATCCACAACTCTCCGTATGACGCTCTGCCTCGCGTCCCACTCTTCCTTCGTCATGGGCTTCATGGCCTTGATTCGGGACTTCTGCTCGTCTGTCAAAACTGGAACGAGGCCATTAGTAAGAACCAAGCTCGTGGGACCAGTGCCAGCCCAAGGGGCCCTGCCACAGCCACCTCCACCGGTGCCTGAGGAGCCGTGATGAAGATAAACGGGGCAGAGCAGCGCGGGCGCCGCGGCCTCGCAGGTGGCACCGGCGCTGCCGGTTTGTTACTGCCAACCAGGCACTTCCGTGTGGCCTCTTCGCTCCCATTTATAAACTAGAGCTAAGTGTGTTTTAATCTGCAAATGTGACTTGCAGAAGGCCACGGGACGTAGGAGGGAGGGGAGTCAGGGGTGTCCCTCTGTATGCAGCTCTGCCACCCCAGAAACCTTGTGGGACCCCGCACATGGTGACATGGGTGACACTTTTCTGCCCCAGCGCAGGCGGGAGGGACCTGCAGGTTTACCTGGCCCGGAGTCCCCCAGCGCCTCCTTCTGCCACTGCTCCAGTGAGGGGCCTGGCAGCGCCTCCGGCTCGGCTCGCTCCTCCCGAGCCCTCTCCTTGGGCTCCTTCTTCTGCTTCTTTTTTATCCTTTTCTTCTTCTTCTTTTTGTCTTTCTGCTTCTTTTTGGTGTGCCGCCTCTTCTTGGCTTTGGCATCGCTGTCACTGGAGTCATCGGA